TTATTTTCCCTACTGCCAAGCCCTCCCTACAATGTAGTCTGTCTCACAGTCCTGAACCACATTATTTTCCCTACTGCCAAGCTCTCTCTGCAGTGCTAAAGCCCTAAATAAAGCAAGTCTAGATTTCCTCAGGTTCTGAATCTCTGGTCTCCCTAGGGCTCCTTTTCAATTTAAATGGCCTTGTTTGTTACTATCAAAATTATATATATTCAGAGACTAAGCATTAGTCTAGTTCCTTATGACCTCTCAAACTAAGCATCCCTACTTAATAACAGAACCATCAGATAATATTCCAAAATTAAACTGTGTTTATCTTCATATACAGAAACTGTAGTCAATACAGGACTATCCCACACCAATCCCATCAAAGAAGCAGGCAGTGACCTCAGCATCCCCCATTAGCTTCTGCGACAACCCTCCAAATGTGTGATAAAGCTTATACTGACCTTTGATGCTACAATGCAATATAGCCCTGCAGTGATTCAATGTTAAAACAATGTTAAACACATGGGTCACTTCCTGTGACATGTTGCTGGTCTTAAACAACAAAGCTATTTATCAGACATATGCAAGGACTTGACTTTGAAGTTGGACCTATCATCAAAACATTCTTACTGGTGTCACTTTAAGAATACTCTCAATATGACCTGAGATTTAGTCTCTGAAATACAAGCTTTTCTTACTATATTTTGGCTAAATTACGTTTTAATATTAGAAAAGGAACCAGAGATATTTTTTAATAGAGTCTAGGCTTGCCAAAGTATTGTAAACTTGGGAGTTCCTGGATAATGCTGTTTAGGTCTAGACTAGACTAGTGCCAGACAAAACGTTATTCTTAGAATTTAGACATTTATGTCCTCTGACTGTTCTGTTCATTCATAAATCGAACATTTTTGCAAACAAAGTAATGAAATCATATGTATTAACTCCAGAGGAAATGCTCTCTTTTAAACAAATAAGATTAAATCAAAAACATCTTTCTTTACTTAGATGAATTTACTTGAATTACACAAATATGAAAAAAACATCTCAAATAAATAAACAATCAGCACTTGAAGTACAAACTTAAGGCAGAAATATTTCCCTGAGGGTATTCTTTGGTTTGCACACAATGGATTTTCTTGTTCATTCCAGAAAGAGTCTAAGATTGTTCTTACCAGATAATTTATTTTAGCAATTAATGATTCACAAACCGGACAAAGAACTGAAATGCGATCTTAATAACTCAAATAAAGATTTTGTTTTCAAATTCCAAGCTTGTTAAACCTCAGCTGTAAACAATGGAACAATTCAGTTCAGCTAGTTAGAAGTTGTCGTATGGAAACATTTACGAATAAAACCCTTCGAACCATTGCCATATGTTCTGATATTGCGGCAATGTTGGAAAAATGTCACTACGGAAAGACTCAAGTGCACATGCCCCTGGAATGCTGCAGTAGGGGGCATTTCAAGCATGCAATTAACACTTGGCAGGGAATTTTGGTCCAATTCCCATATTGTGCCTGCTCGGAATTCTCTTTCATATGGGATCTTGAACTTTGGAACAAAGCATTAGTATTTCTGTGTTCTTGGTCCTTTTGATAGTGCATTTGAAACAACATTGGAATAAAATACAGCCAGCAGATATGAGAAATATTTGGGGTTTGTTTATAATTGTGAAAGATGAAAACTATAGCCAGTGTAAATGCATGTATTTTTTTAATTGAAGGCACACAATGAATATTTTATGTAAACAATGGGAATGAAGGAATCATGCATTATTGAATAATACTTCCATGGCAAGTGGATAATGAAGTTTAAATGAGTCCTCTCCATCTAATTTTAAACTGTTTAAAACATATGAAAGTTTAAGCATAAAGAATCTCAAGTAAGGTAAGGAACTGTGCAATTTCAGTGTAGGTAAAGAATAGATCCATGTGTGAAACTGATGCTTTTATCTGTGTAATAACGCTAATCAATAACAATCAGTGACAAGCTGATAAACATCATTATATTTCATCTTGAAGTTAAAGAAAGTAGTTTTAACAACTTGAATCCAATTTGCTTGGACTGACAAGTTATCCCCTTTGGGTCACACGTCTTCCACAGATGATCAGAGACAATTCTTCCAACCAGTAGATTTATTGTTTCACATGATGCACTGATCCTGGTTACCAACAAATGTGAGTAATATGGAAACACAAAATGAAGCTGCAATAAATGTTTCATGTTTCAATAAGGTTCTGAGCAATACATGACTACGGTTGGAAATACACGTACATGGCCTATGCTGCAAGGGACACAACTCTGGGTAGTCTTTGTATACATTGTATTTCTGTTCTACCCAGGATCTAGACAGCAACATGTAGACATTGGCATAGAGACCATGCAATACTTTTCTAAACAATGCTTTGGAAGCAAGGCTAGAGCATCCTTTAATGAGTACATGTATGCAGTGTAAGATACTAAACAAAGTCCTACTACATCATTGTTTCTAAGCATTCTCCTTATGTTTATTTGCTAACATAAGGAAAGATTACCATTAAGCCACAGAAATAATGTTATATTGCTAAAATATGTATATCTACAAAGTTAAACAATATACAAGCAATCACAATGGCAGTCTAGCCGTACCGGATGATTTTGGAACTGAGTTGGAATCATTTTTTATATTTCTAGAGTCTGGGAGTAAAATAATAACTGTGACAATAACCCATAATTTTTGTTCTTGATTTTGAAAAATTAATTGAGACAGTGTTCCTTGAAAATGTGGTTGAAATATATATTCACAGCTGGAAATTGGCAATATTTCAGTACACACAGTTTATGAGAACCTACCTTCCTTTCAATATGAGATGTCATGGTTTCATGCATTTTGAGAAAACATTTTCATCTTCAAATTATTATCAAATATTAAAATACAGATAAAGAAGTACAAACCATATTCTTCATTTTTTAACTCGACATGTCCATTTCAGGATGAAACTGTAGTATGTACAGGTACAGGTATGTGCTTCTTACGTAGGATCTGAGGAAGTGTTACACTCCCCTGGGCCATATCTGTCATAATCCTTGATAGAGGAGAGGGAGGGTCCGAACGCCCTCCAGCACCTGTGATGCCCTGTAGCCTGTGGGTGGGGTCTGGTGGTGGGGTGGGGGATATCATGCTATATACACCAGCAGATAGGGATAAGTATGTCGGTAATTGTGTGGGCATGTGAACTAGATGACCCTTGGGACATTTATTGAGACTTGAGGTCCTGAGAGTACTGGTATCTCCACTTTATTGGGTCACATAAATTATTCCTTTTCAGAACATTCTCAGAATTTCAAACTCATGTGCGGTAATGTTAGGAATCTTTTTCTGAAGGACAATCAATCAAAAAGATTAAATTACATTATACAAAATTCAATTTAGCAGTTTTACAGTTAATCATCTAAGACTTTTAATACATGCATTTAAATGACTTACAATTGCTCCGAGGCACATGTTAGGAGTTGATATTGCTCCTAGGCACATATTACAGAGTTTAAAGATGGAAAGTCAGCAGCTATCCTGCCTACATGATAGACTGGCGGCATAAATATGTCTGAAGAATACATTTTCATGAGGCACATAATACCATTATACAAAATAAAACAGGGTCGAGAATTCATTCATACTTGTATTCATTTAAAGTTTTGAGATTAATAATTGTGGAAATTTATTTGCTAGTGCCACATTTAGCGTAAATTGACTTTGTGATGTTTTGATTTGCTTGATGTCTGTTTATCATTAGGCTTATGCTAATGTAATCCCAATGTCCTTCTGGATAATGAAGTTTTATCTTAAATCCACCCCATTTATATTAAACTGACTGAGTTTGGTTTTACGCCGCTTTTAGCAATATTCCAGCAATATCACGGTGGGGGACACCAGAAATGGGCTTCACACATTGTGCCCATGTGGGGATTCAACCGGGTCTTTATCTTTAACCATTAGGCTACCCCACCGCCCCCCATTTATATTAAAAATAACAACACCAGGAGCAAAGTTTTGAAAGACATTATAAGGTTTGTCAGTACAGATTATTGTGATGTTTAGTGACAAGTTGAGTCTAACAGGGATAACTCAAATCATTCAAGATCGTTGTAGATACATAGCAACATGTGTGAGTGCTGTTTGTACCGGAGCAGTGGGGTAGTGGTTAAAGTGTTTGGTCATCACCATGAAGACCTGGGTTTGAATCCCTACATGGGTACAATGTGGCCATCTGGTGTCCCCAAACATACCATTGCTGGAATATTGCCAAAAGCAATGAAAAATATACTCACTCACTCACTCACTCACTCACTCATCCACCACTTTTTCTAAACAGAGAGTTTATCCTTTACACCAAGGAGATGGTCCTTGAGCCAAGAATGATTCCCTGGTGTAACCTCAAGGCTTTATGATACACCTTGTGATACAATATGTATCTCCATAACATGATACACAATGTGATACACGACCTCTGTTGTGAAAGGAATTCAATTCCAAGGATGAAAGAAGAAATGGTCAAACCATAGCAAATCTAATAGTGAGTCAGTGAGTAAGGTTTTATGCATTTTTAAGCAATGTTACAGCAATACCATAGCATGGGACACCAGAGATGGGCATCACACATTGTACTCATGTTGGGAATCAAACCCCATGATGTTTGGCATGAGCCAGCTTTAACCACTACTACCACTGGGACCTGGGCATCACACATTGTACTCATGCATGATGAGCAAGCTTTAACAAGATCCAAGGATCCAGGTAGGTAGTTAAGTTAATTTGAAACATACAGAAGACCTACCGTCCAATACTCCAGTATCATGGTCCAACATGATCCAACAAACCTTCAGACCTGGGCCTAGATTTTTGAAGCTCTCTTAGCTAAGATAGTCGTAAGTTAATGTTAAGGTATGGCACTTACGACTATCTTACCGCTAAGAGAGCTTCAAAAATCTAGGCCCTGGTTACACTATAATCTGCAGACTTTGCCAGTAATACTCACCAGAGACTGCTGCAGATGAGTTTGTCCCTCCATCTTGGTGAGATGCTCTGGGATGTTCCTCTTGAATAATCAACTAGGCTACACTGGCCGGTCTCTACACTGGCATCTCACTCCCTGCACAACAAGACAACACACTTAATCTATGACATGTTAATATAATGCAGCAGAATGTGGTATGGCAATTATACCACATGAATAATGCACGACAATTTGTCAACATTCTTAAAGAGGAGCTGTCACAGGTAGAGTAACATTCCATGCTGTCTTGCACAACAGATGATGATGGCAGCTTTACTGGAACGTGAGCAAAAGCATAGGAAATTAATTAACTCCTCAAATTATCTCTGTGGATCTGTGTAATTGTCCTCATCCTGACTATGGTTTTATTCAGTGCACAACCAGCCATAGACTAACGCTTAGTATCTGAATATATAATTTTGATTGTAACAAATAAACCCATTTAAATGGAAAAGGAGCCCCAGAGAGACCAGAGATTCTGAACCTGGGGACATCTAGACTTGCTTCATTTAGGGCTTTAGCATTGCAGGGAGGGCTTGGCAGTAGGGAAAATAATGTGGTTCAGGGACTGTGAGACAGACTAAACCAGCCACAGAACTGTAGTCCTCTAATGACATAGATTTAGTCAGTGTATCACCTGTGTGACTTATTACAGTTGAGGATCTCCCATCAATCCAATACAATCTTGGTACACAGTAGACCCCACTGAATTAATTTCTAAAATTTAAATTTATTTAGGAATTTGTCTGTCTTTGCTGTGAGCCCTGGTCATATCAGGATCTGTTTCTGATTACAGAGCAAGTCTCAGGTGTTCAAACAAAGATTTTATGTGTGCTTCATGATCCTGTTCATACTGTACCAGAACATATCATAATATCCAGCTTAATATGATGCAACTGAATTTAACTGGACCTGGATTTTTGGTTTAATGAGCTGCAACTTCAACCACTTGGCTACAGTTCTGTCCTTAACATTTTACAAAATACAGAAGAGGAGGAAAAGTACATCATAATTAGAGACCACAGTCTTACTATTGAAGAATGGTAAACCATGGTATTATTTACGACGTGGTGTACCCTGGTATATTGACCATGGTATGTCAGGTTTGAATTCTGCCATGGTAGGTGATGTTTCATTTTTCAATGGTAAACCAGACTGCCATGGTCTGTGTGTAATAGTTCACTATTGTCATTTTATGTCAGCGGAGCAGTTCTGAAGCAACATATCTGTGACTCTTTCCACATAGCAACCTTTACTAAGGTTAACCTTAACGCCTATTCTTTAACATTGCACTAAGGTTACCTTAGTGACTTACGATCACCTTAGTGCTTTGTGAAAGGAGGCCCAGATTATCATCATCAGTTTTAGTGACTGCCCCCGAATGAACATCTAAATATATGGACCTTGGTTGGTATTTGCAGATACTCTTAATTTAATTTACTGATATACACCTGACTAGAGGGGTGAGTCAGGGAGATCCACTTTGGGGAATGTATATTGCCAATTCATCTGATCAAGTAGAGTAAGACTTTTTCAGTGTGACCCCTTTTGTCCCCAGCATACACAATAGTTCATTCAATGTTTATGTACATTAAGGACATAGTCAAACCAGGTGCAGCTTTATGGGTCATTAATATATGATGATTTGTAAAGTTTAAGTAGTGTAGGTCCTCTGCATTTGTTCATGGATGTCTGTGTTCTGTTCTTACACAGACATTTCACACAGGACATCACCCATACAGACATCTCATCCATGCCATCTCTCATCCAGGATGTCTCATAAAGGATATCTCACCCATGCCATCTCCCATACAGACAGCCATGTCTCATAAAGGATATCTCACCCATGCCATCTCCCATACAGACATCTCATCCATGCCATATCTCACCATGCCATCTCATAAAGGACATCTCACCAAGGACATCTCATCCATGCCATCTCTCATCCACAACATCTCCCATCCAGGCATTTCATCCACACCATCTCCAGTGTAGGAAAGATAGCCCGTCCCAACGTCCGAGACGGGTGAATTTTGTGGAGGATGGGTTAAAAAAATATCTAGTCCGTCCTCATGTCGGTCAATTTTAGCAAACCAATGACATATATATAATGATTATAACCTTTTTGAATATTTACTGCCGAAGGTGTTTTATTTATGTTTGGAGGACAGGCTAGATTTTGGCAGGACTGGTAAAAAATTTGACCTGCCAGTCCTGTGGACAGGCTAGATTTTCTACATCTTTCCTACACTGCCATCTCTCATCCAGGACATCTCATACAGACATCTCATCCAGGACATATCTCATACAGGATGTCTCATCCATGCCATCTCCCATACAGACATCTCATCCACACCTTCTCTCATCCACCACGTTTCATCCAGGCATTTCATCCACACCATCTCTCATCCAGGACATCTCATACAGACATCTCATCCAGGACATCTCATACAGACATCTCATCCAGGACATCTCATCCAGGACATCTCATACAGACATCTCATCCAGGACATATCTCATACAGGCATCTCACACTGGAAGTCTCATTCAGACATCTGCATCTACAAGGTCTCTCACCCAGGCCATCTCATCCAGGTCATATCTCATACAGGCATCTCACACTGGAAGTCTCATTCAGACATCTGCATCTACAAGGTCTCTCACCCAGGCCGTCTCATCCAGGTCATATCTCATACAGGCATCTCACACTGGAAGTCTCATTCAGACATCTGCATCTACAAGGTCTCTCACCCAGGCCGTCTCATCCAGGTCATATCTCATACAGACATCTCATCCATGACATCTCTCATCCAGGACTTCTCATAAAGGACATCTCATCCATGCCATCTCTCATCCACGACATCTCCCATACAGACATCTCATCCACGCCTTCTCTCATCCACCACGTCTCATCCAGGCATTTCATCCAAACCATCTCTCATCCAGGACATCTCATACAGACATCTCATCCAGGGTATGTCTCATTCAGGATATCTCTCATCCAAGACATCTCATCCAGGACATCTCTCATCCAGGTTATCTCATATAGACATCTCATGCAGGACAACACTTATGCAGCTATGTCATTGAAGACATCTTTCAATTTGATGAATGAGTATTTTGTCTTAACATAGCTGCCAGAGATATTTTACCTATTTTGAAATTAGCATGAAGAAGAATGAATTCTGAATTAAGTGGTATTCATTTGTGTGTGAGTTCATTATTATTATTATATTTTTACTTCAACAATCCAGAAACTTGTCAAACACTTCACTGTAATATCAAATATGAGTTCCTTTCACACTGAATCTCAGTCATTCTTCAGACCTATACAAACACTGCTATATATGTAAAATGAATTCCTTGCAGGTCAGGGAGAGTGAACAAATAGAAGATTTGTTTGGAAAAGATAAAACCTGTTGAGCAAGAGGAATTGAATTTCATTCAAGTCAATACTCAATTCATAAATCCATTGTTAAGAAATACAATCATTTTCTCTTTTTGATAATATATACCTATACCATATTATAATCAATAATATTATATCACAAACATTCCTTCCCAACACCCTTTAGAGGTCAGAAACAGGTTCTCTTAATTTTACTTTCACCCAAAAGATGGTATAGCTCCTAAAGCAACAGTGCCGCCTGAGACTGGATAATCACATCAAACATGCGTGTAATAAAAAACATGTTATCTTTATTATTATTATTATTAGATCCATATCACATGGACACCTGTTTTTACACCAAAAGTTTCACACTTCACATCAGTTGCAATAAAACTCATTTCCTGTGTCTTATATATGCATGAATGACACTGGAGATTCACATCAAAAGTGTTTGTTTGTCATAAAAACGCTGTTAATTGCATCAAAAATATCCTTTCTTACATATTTCTCACTCATTACACTTTACCCAAACATTCTTCCCAGACACCTGTTTGTCTTGCTAACTGTGGCATGCCTGATTTACTGCCCAGTTTGGTTGACACTATCTACACAACTGGGATGACCAGGCGGTCATATCTATGTACATAGGTAAACAAGCTGGCCTATTGTTCGCCACAGGTAATGTTCAGTCAACACTCGGGACTCAGAGTGCAGGGGAGTATTGGACCAAGTACCTGTATGATTGGTATGGGAAGTGGGAATTTCCGGTAAATCACTCTTTAGATATAATGAAATTCTCATACATGTAGATTGTATCATAAGCATGGCAAGCCAACTGCTTGATAAGAATTCAGTGCGACATGCTGGCACTTTAAACACTTGATAAAGAATGCATAACCAATCACTGACATAAATAGAAACAACTATTGATATTGCTACTAACTAACATGTGTAATATTCCAGAAAAATCCTTCATTTGTAATAAAATTATTGGGAAGGTACAGAGAAAATAACAAGATCGTAATCATCATTTTAATGTCACAAACCACTATAAAGGACTGAAGAAATAGAGAATTTCATAAATAAAACAACTGTATGTCTTTGACATTAAAATGACATTAAAATATTGTTAAAACAAGAAGTAACCATTGTGTGTAAAGACAAAAGTTACAATCCAGTTATCGTGTCTCTGTGAAGAATCATAGCTATCAACAATTTTTTGTGTGTTGATATTCCCTCTAGGGGGTATAATTAAAACATACTCAGGGATACAAAATCTGTTTTTATCCATAAAAGTAGGTAAAATGAATTCTGATATTTGCACCTGATCTGATAGGTGCAGCCATATGATGTCACTTTGCTTAACTGTAGACATCAATACAATATTTGTCTTTCAGTGTTTGAAGTGTTACAAATTGATAACATCATCATAATTTAAACAATATTGGATATCTTAAATGAAGTTTCCCAACACTGCTGAAATTTCTTAACATTTTCTTAATTCTTTCCTTAAAATAACACTATATAACATATAGCTTAACCAGCTTCTAAGCTCTCAAGTAAGAATATCTCTTTCTTTGTAAACAAAAACTGTCTCACACTCAATGGCCCTGGCAGTTAACTGTAATTCCTTGTAGATCATTGGCTACAAACTGAAACATTCAACCCTGACAATTTGAAATAGTAAATACATTCCTTCCTCCAG